GGGTGTACTCTGAGGCGAGGAGGCACCTTGAGGAGGCTGGCTGTGCGGAGTCCTTGCTCCGCACTCTGGTGGTGGAGGGAAATAACGAGGAGCAGATGAGTAAGTGGAGCTGCCCACTGGAGCTGGGCTGCAGATGTACCGTGTTTATTCTTTCCCCTCCGTGGCATTCTAAAGGGAAGTCTTATTTCCTTCTCCCTGTGTTCTCTTGCCGTCGGCTGAAATCTGCTCAGGTCAGGAAACGTCGAGGGACCAGAAGGACCACCGTGTCCAGATGTGTCCAGGTATGGGGAGGACCGGGCCCTCTTCCTCTTTCTTCACTTCTCTGGGCCTGGTTGGCCTGGCTGTCACCGTCCTGGGAGTCCCGTGGGTGACGCTGACGTGCTGCACACGTGTCACGGAGGTCCAGGCCCTGCTCTTCAGTCCAGTGGGCTGGTGAGTGGTGGGATCCAGTCATGTGACTGTTATCAGCTTTCCACTGCTTTAATGAAATCCCTGAGACAATCTACTTACAAGGAGGAAAGTGATCTTGGCTCACAGGTGGAGGTGTGGTCCACGACCTGGTGGCCCTATTGCTTTCGGGCTTCTCCTGGAACTTCTGCCAGATGAGAGTGGAAGGGCACTCATCGCTGGACAATGCTCACTTCATGGCCAGCAGAGGAAGAGGAAGAGACTGAGGTCCCATGATCCCCTTTGAGAGCATGCCCTCAGTGACCGAAGGACGTTCTACCAGGTCCCACCTCCGGAAGGTTCTGCCCTCTCCCAACAGCACCGTGGGTTGGGGACCAAGCCCTCGACACACGGGCCTCTGGGGACCATTTATCCAGCCCACAGCCCTGATGTAGCTGGGTCTTCCGATCCCCCATGGGACTTCCAATGCCCTGGGGGCGGGGGACATTGACAGGGTGCTGTGACTGGGGCCCTGGCACCTTCCGGGCTCCCCTCATTTTCTCAGGTGTCCCTCAGACCTCCTGTGCTGGAGCTGCGGCCCCAAGGCCCAGGTCCGAGGAGAGGCCTGGGGAAGTGCTTGGGCTATGAGGCTCTGGCCCTCAGTGGGTGGGGCCATCCTGGGCCGAGCAGGGGGCCTCGCTGCAGGAGGTGGGCCTTCCTCTCTCCCTCTGCCCTGTCACAAACACCTCCCTGAGGCCAGTGACCGGCACCTGTGACACTGAGCCCCAGGGAATCCTTCCCCTTCTCGGTGGATCTTTCTCAGCTATTTTGTCACTGATGGAAAGCTGTCAATCACACCCCTCCCCAGAGACTGGAATGAAATGGGTTCTCCACCAGGTCAGAGAATGCTCTGGGGCACCTTGCCTGGGGAATCGGGAGGGTGGTGTGGGTCCTGTGTCCCTTGTCCCAGCTCCTCCGCTCACGGCCACAGCCTCATGACCTGCTCCTGAGGTCCTCCCCTTGGTCAGGGCGCTCCACAGGCCTTGAAGCGGGTCCCGCTCCAGCCTGGGCTGCTCGCTCAGCTTTGTCACCTGCCCAGGAACAACTGTGACGGGAAGGGACAACTGGCTGTCCTCAGGTAGCGCTGACCCCTTGGAGGGGAGAGTAGGACTTCCCTTGAAGACAGGATGAAGAGGAAGACAGGTCACCCCCGTGCTCCAGCTGGGAGAGTGTGGAGGGGGCTCCTCCAGGGTGGGGGTCTTGACGGGGTCTGTCCATGGCTGTGTCCGCAGGGCTGGGGGCCACGCAAGACTCACGGGCAGGATGAAGAAGAGGCAAACGGCCATCGGCCCAGCCTCTCTGCCTGCCTTCACAGAAAGAAAGAAATGTATTACAGAGAAATCCTTGGGAACTTCCAGATGTGGCTCGGACTGGGGCTCCGCTTCCTGCCGGGTGCTGGAGTCAGGCCTGCGTTGGGCCAGGGCCTCTGTGGCCTTATGGGGACAGGGATGGAGGGCGTCAGCCTGGCCGCGGAGGCTGGTCAGGGTGGGCAGGGAGTGAGCCGGGGGTCCTGGCTATTTGCATCTGACCAGGGAAGCCCTAGCAGGGGAGTGGGAGAGAAGGGCAGGTTCCTGGCCCTCCATCACCAGATGACCCAGGGCTGCCGCGTTTCCGTTTCTGTGGAGCAAGCTCGTGTCTTGGTGGATCAGAGGACATGTGTGCAGGACGCTCTGGGGAATCTGCAGGGCTGTGAAGCCAGAGGGGCAAGAGCAGAGGGCCAGAGAGGCCTGGGAGGAGAGCAGTGGGGTCCCGGGGACCCACCACCACTGCTGTGCTGGCCTGCCATTCACCAGTCCCCCGGCCCTCCAGGATGGCAGCCTAGTCCTCTCTCCGTGCACTTTGAATTCCGAAGGCTGTTTCTCTCTGGAGTGACTCAGGCATGAAGTGTCGCGAGGACGACTTTGGACTTTGTCAGTTATTAGTTGGTAACATACATTTGGATTTTCCCCATCAGTCTGCTTCAGATGTTTGTCTTGTAGTTTGCCTAGTGGCTGCTATGGCCTGTGTCCCCAAATCTCTATGTTGAAACCTTAACCCAGGTGATGCTACAGGAGGTGGGGGTTTTTGGTCACAGGGGTGGAGGCCTCACAGAGGCATTAGTGCCCTTGTCAAATGGTCCCAAGGGGGCTCAGTCACCCCTTCCACCACGTGAGGACAGGGGAGAGGGCTGTGAGCAGAACAGGGCAGACTCGACGCCAGATCTGTGTGCTTGCAGCTCCCGGATGAGGACCAGCAAGCACTCCTGTTTACAGACCACCTAGTTACCAGTGTTCTGAAGCCGCCTGAGCAGCTGAGGTAAGGCTCTGTTTGTGTGACTCCATGTTGCGGTCTGTCTACTCCTCGGCAACTTGGCGATTAATGAGTGCGGATGCTAACATTTCATCTACTGTAACTGAATTCTATGTTGTTAGCCAAAACCAAAACTGTATGACTTGATACCAAATATCTTTTTCCTCTCCTGATTAAGGAATGTTTTTATTTGGAAAGCCTCTCAGAGACATGGAAATAATAGTTGTTTTCTGTATTGCAAATCCTCTGGTGAGAAAATCATGCCACAATAAGATTGACAGTGTCCCCCAGCCTGGGTCACAATAGCATCGCCAACCATGAGTGCATATGACGGTTTTATTGTTTTAATACAAATAAATGATTTGTGATATCAATCAAGCAAAAGTATGAATATTTCCTATTCTAATAAATTGAAATTGCTGTTTTGGTAGAATAAATTGACAAGACCTCTCTGCTTCTCACTCCGTTCATTCTTTTCTTTTTTTTTTTGGTGGTGGTGCTGGGTAGGGAAGCAGGGCCGCACGCGTGCGAGGCCGACCCCACCTCTGAGCCCATTCCTATTTCATCCCTTCAGTACCTCTGTGTGTCTGGCCACGTGCTAGGAGCTGGAGGTGGACACAGCAGCCATGGTCT